CTTTCCAGCCTTTCTGATTCCCGAGTTAGCATTTTTCCAGCCAAAACTTTCACATGCTCGTAAGTGAAAATCGGGCGTGCTTTTGAAGGTTAGTGCCGCGGTCATAGGATAACACTTGGCCAGGGAACCCATTAGCAAAATTTTAACGCCGGAGCTTGCTTGGTTGACGAGATTAAAATACCCAAACATGCATACGCACAGATATACACACACGCAGACCAGCATCCTCATGGTATGCGTTTTTGCACTTGCATGTACGCAAAAGCGCATAACCAAAATGCCGCATGCAGCAAAATTCTGAATCAAAAATCAGCAGGTTAGCATAACAGCATTGATTATCAGACCAACCCGAATAGATTGTAAAAAAAAAAACAAGGCATACACTTGGCGCTGGTGAAGAAATCGAATTCTCTGGACTTTGACATTGCATCACCGACAATTCAGCATCATCAAGAAACTGCCGCTTACGAGCATCAACATAAACAAGCCATTTACTGCCCGCATAAAGTTCTAATTCTCTGAAGAAATTTTTTTTTATCCAGTGTGATTAAGAGGCGCAATTCGCCAGTACAGAAAACACATCTAGGCCAACGAATGTCCAAAGAAATACGTATGTACAGAAACAAATAAACACATAGGCATGCTGTTCTTAGAATCGCATGGATGTCTAGGGTACTTAGCACATACACTGACACATGCGCGTGCACACAAATATGTCACGGAACCCGCAGATATAGAAATACAACATCTTAGAAGCAGTTCTTCGTTCCTCTAGATCATATTAAATTTATTTTACCTGAAGTAATAATCATGACTGGCCGTAACGGCATAAACATTGGCGTCTGTTGCTCGAAGACGATCAGCAGCAGCGAGCAGCTCTTCCCACCGATCCTGACTGTTACCGTCCGATATCAGAACAATCATTCTTCTGCAAAGCTCCTGTTGTGGGGTAGATTAACATCGCAGTAAAACGCAAGTTTTGGCGAATGCAAAAACGCACGCTGTCGAGTTGTCGTTGTGTATTTGTGTTTACGTGTATTTGTGTGTTTGCATACGCTTGAGGGTATTCTATGTCTTCCACAGAGACGTCCCATGTTATTGTATAAGTTAATAAGATTTCAAATTTAGCTTTAGCAAACGCCTATATACGGACGCATCAAATTTAAGATTTCGTCATCACTAGCAAGACATCAATTCAGGATATGAAATAATTAGAGCGTGTTCACTTTACGGGAACATTTATTTTTCATACCTAGGCATGTAGACATAAGATGAGCTTTAGCATAGGCCTGCGCCATGTGTGGGAACGCGTCAAAGATATCTGCAACGAAAAGCAATTTCGCCAACCAATCAAGCCAGGAAGTTGGTACTTTACGAGGATGTTCTATGCCAGTGTGAGACCTAAATATTTCAAATTTAGCTCTAGAGCATGTCTAACCATACATGCACACAAGTAAATGTTTAGATCGGGACACTGTTGACACCCAGTTAACTCGGCATTAGGACTGAGCAGGAAGTATTATCCTGTTGTTGTGCAAGTCAGGTGAGTATGGAATTGCTGACCGGTCTAGACTTTGGTCATCCTACTTGCTAGCTATACGCAATAGCTATCCGCAAAACGCACGGCCAGACATGCTGTTTAGTGCACATCATTTTTCCTAGAACTGGTCTGCAAGAATAATTTAAAAGCGATGCGCG